ATTTGCGAGCATCCCCAGCCCTGCAGAAATGGGGACGTGTCAGCATGAGGCCATCCTGATGGAGACGATGGCTTCCAGCATCCCTCAGAGATATTCTGGGAAGGCAAACAGCCATGAAGCCCAAACAGGAGGTGTGCTATGGCTCTGAGTGGGGAGGAAGAGCCACTCAGTGCTATTTGCAGCTCAGCCCCACTGCCTCCCCAGCGCTGCTGGGTGTCCCTTCGGCAGCAGTTCGTGCCACATTTCTGCCCTCAGTTCATCATTCTGCACAATTTGCATTGCTGAGCACCAGAGACATCCCTTGGCTCTACTCCCCACCAGCACGTGCTCTTACAGGTTGGGATGCTCAGTTCCCCACTTTGGGGTTTGTGCCCCCCACAGAGCCTGTTTGAAGGATGCAGCAGGGCTCAGCAGCCCTGCATCTCATCAGTCCCACGCTGCAGGGACCCGCACACCGTCCTCATCATAGGGACAGCCCCATGGGATGGTCCCATGCAGTCCCCCACCGGTTCCCATGGCAGCAGGCTCTATACTGGCTCACCAATTGCCATGGCAACAAGGCTTCCCCCTCCCCATCTACAGCACTGGGGGGTTCACAGGGGTTCCCATAGCAGCTCCCCCTGATGGAGAGCATCCCCCCAGCTTCCCCAGCAGCAAACAGTGCAACTCCTGCATCTGGCCGAGCGGTTGGACGTGGACATGATCCTGCTGCCCACACAGGGGCTGGATGCTCTCCCAACCCATCAGGACACAGCACCAATCTTCCCTCCTGCTGCCACCCCCTCACACCCCTCCCCAGCGCCTTCTTGCTGCTGACAGGTGCGTGGATACTCAGCTCTCTCTCCATGCCATGTTGCACAGCATCCCTCTGCTCGGAGAAGGAGAAGAGATTTGTAAAAATGATGCATGGCAGATGCAGGTGAATTTTATTCTACTGTCCTGCTGAGGATTCTGAGCCAATCACCAACAGGGAAATGCCAGCATCACTGGACCCCTTGAGATCTTATTCTCCCATTTAGCAGCACTTATACCAGACCTCCCTTGGTGCCAGCCCTGGGAGGAGATGCTGGAGTGCAGTGTGTGCTCACCCAGGGCAGCACCTTTCTCTTCTGGGCTACTACAGCCAAAGCAGTGGTGATGTTGGGCCATGGGGGCTGTGCTCCCCACCCGTCCCCCACCATGGATGGGATCAGACCCTGCAATGGGACCCAAAATCCTATGGGGCTTTGCTTGTGCTCAGGCTGCACAGCTCCGTGCCCTCAGATTTCATGATGAAGTTAAGATAGTGAGGCTGTTGCTTGGGGTGAAAAGATGATTAACAGCCATCATCCCAATTAAGAGTTTCTAATTGGGATTAATTTGAGAAGTTAATTAAGCGTGGAAATCTCTTGCCTCCCAGATTTCTCTTACCAACCTGTTGCTCCCCAGCCCTCACACCACCAGGAGGGCATGGGGCTCTTTGGGTGAGGACATCACTGCTGGGCTTGTCCATTAGCACTGCTTTTGGTGGCTGTGAATATAGAAACGATGCCCCAGTGGCAATCAGGCACCTCTCCCTCCACCCCGCGCCCAGCAAGAAGCCTGCAGCTCTTCCTATTACTTTCCTCAACATCTCATGAAAATTAATTCCTGCAATTAATGGATTAAATCAACAACCCCCCACGCTCGGTGAGGCTGAGCCAGATGCACCGTGGCAAAGAGCATGGACATCACCTTCAGGAGGAAACAAGGACATGGGGTGGGAAGTCAGGGGCAGATCAGATGGGAGAGAGCTGCAATGCAACGCTCAGCAAAGCAAAACCCCAACTGACTGCACTTCCATGCAAGCTGCAAAGCCCCTACTTGTTTCTTAGAGATGCTGTTGGATGCCTTGAATCCTCAGATGAAAGGAACTAAATTAGGGCAGATTGCAGTTTCCTGCTTTCTGGCTTGTATTTACAGAAATTCTGAGAGATCTGGTTGCTCTCTTTCCAAATAGGAGCTGAAAATAAGGACCTCCCTTCAATTTTTCCCCCTTTCCAAACAATTTGGTCCCACAGCTGGGGACACTCCATCCCCCACATAGTGCTGGGGCACAGCTGCATCCTCAGCGGTTCTGCTCCTTTTTGCCCGTGGATCATTGGTATTTCTTTGCTTTCCTGGGAAATGGCATTGAATAGGGCCTTATCTCTCCTGAGAAAATATTGATCCAGAGTTTTAATGGCTTTCCATTAAGGAGCCACAATGGGTGTCATTGGGAAGGATGGCTCCACCTGATAAGAAAGGGAACACTCAGCTTTAAAAGGGGTTTTCGCCCCCTCCACAAATTCTGCCAAAAAGAAAAAAAAGAAAAGAAAAGAAAAAGAAAATGAAAAAGAAAGAAAGGGGAAAAAAAGCCATAGATTGCATTGCTCTTTTCACTCAGTTGCTCTGAGGACAGATGTTCAATTTGTTAACTTCCCCCAGGGCTCTGCTTTGCCGAAGGGTGAGGCAAGGAGAGAGGAGATCCAATGCATTGGTATATTTTGGGAAGTCTTTCTAAAGGGGGGGGGAAACATCATAAGAAAGGCCTCCCAAAAAGAAAAAAAAGGCTCGACATGGGGGAGACAGGACTCAATTAAAGCAAGACCTTGAAAGACACGAGCCAGCAGCACAGAGCTCGGGTCCATTAGGCATCACTGTCAGGCGGCGTGCCGTGCTTAACAGAGCTGCGTGGCAGCTGAATCCATCACCTGGGGAAATAAACAACGCTGCTTACATCTTCAGCAGCTCCTTGATCTAGCGATAAACCCGTAAGGGGAAATAAATGGGCTTCTCTTCCCCGGACTGTCCACATCGGGATGCAATTTGCCGTTTCACCTGGCTGCTGATAAGCGGGGGATTGGGAGGGAAAAGCTGCTTAACGATTTCCTAATAAAGCCCCTGATAAATGGAGCAGCCCTATTCCCTCCATCCTGGGGTGACTGACAGCCCAGACGGCTGCTCCATGCAGCTGGGCATTGGTAGGACGTGCTGCTGGGCCAACAGTGGTACGCTGCTTGGGGACACCTCATCCCAAGAATTGTCCCTGGCACCCATTTTGGCAAAAACCCGGGCAATTTGGGCAAAACCCAAAGCTCCTCACGAAGCCCAGTAGCCCACTGTATGGGAAGAGGTGCCTGCAGCTCCTCTGCAGGTAAATCACAGCACCCCAAAGCCACCCTGCTGCCTCCATGCCACATTTAGGGTGAGCAGACCCATTCCCAGGCGCCAGGCCCGTGCTGACATCTCCCCATGGCATTTCCAATTGTTTGATTTTATTCTCTCTCCTGACAGTTTTTCTTTTCCCCCCACCTGCACCTCCCTGCTGGGAATTTATTCTTGATAATTAGCCGTGGTAATTAGAATCTCTTTCACATGGCAGCGCTTCAGCTTCCCTCTGCATCTCTTCCATGCTCCTATGTGATAAAACATGAAATTAATGCCTGCGTCGTGCTCAGGTCTCCCATCCTGATGGACAGAAGTGCTGCCCAGGATGCTGGATAACCCAGCTCCCCATTACATCGCTATTTACGGTGACAGCAACCAGAGTGAGTGGGCCAGCTCCTATTTTAGCTTGTAGACAACAGCCCTGACAGTGGTAACAGGGGCTGATGGCACCTGGCTGCTGGACTGTAGTTGCTGCCTTGAGAGCTGTCCGGAGCCAGCTACGGGATCCTGCTCTTGGGATAAAGCAGGTTTTGTTTGGTCCTTGTGGCACTGGGGGCTGAATGACTGGGAGTGTGCTTCTTGCCATGCCCCCAGTGCCTGGCCTGTGCTGTCCCAGCCCTGCAGTAGTGTGGGCAAGCAGCTGCTTTGGCACCAAGATAGAATCAAAGAATTAAATCTTTGAGGTTGGAAAGACCGATCACATCCTCTAGTCCAACCCCAAACCCTCCCCACCATGCCCACTGACCACATCCTTCAGCGCCACATCTCCACGGTGCTGGAACACCTCCAGGGATGGTGACCTCCCTGATGCCAATGCACTACCAGATGAAAAGTGCCAGGGAAAGGCACAAAGGATTGGTGTTCATCTCTGCAAAGAGAGGCTTCCACAGCTTTTATTTACACACACGCCTGCTGCAAGACACACAAATTACTTAATCAATCCTTTCCCTTGTCGGCGTCACCGGCTGTTTGGAAGCTGCCTGCACAGCGTTGCACTGAAGGTGACAAATGGCTCCTGGATAACAGCACTGGCTCTGGGCTGGGGGACAGCAAGAGCAGCCTGGTGCCAAAATGGGGCTCCATTCATGCTGCTGAACCCCTGCTCTGTCACCTGGAGCCAGGTGGGGACAGTGCTCCCAGATGACACCGTCAGGCTGGGATGAAGGGTTATTCCATGCATGGTACAAGTGCCCAGTCTGCAGCTCGCAGCTGTACAGCCCACTCCTGAGCAGCAGGAGGGCTGAGCACTGATCCTGCAGCACCGCTCCATGAGAACCTCCCAAACCCAACCAGCCTGCTCACCACAGGTCCCACTAAGCCAGGAAAGGAATCACAAGAAGCATCAAACAATTCTCTAAAAGATTATGAGCTTAAAGAGAAGCTAAAGAAGTGAAGCTGCTGCCTGGAGCTCTTGGCCTGGAGCTCACCTTTTCTCGCAGCTGGTTGGGAAGGCAGGGGCTGCAGCGCTGGGGGGATGCAGGCACAATGTTGCTGCTGCAGTTGCTCTGCCTTACATCTGCCCCCACCTTCACTCCATGCCAGTAACATACCAGCTGCTGCAGCACCTCCTCCTGCCTCAAACAAGGAGAAGCACCGTGCCACCACCTACACAATGGTGCACAGCACCCTGCACAGCCCTGAGCCCAGCATCCCTCTGCAGCCCCACGCAGAACTGCTCAGCCCCAGCCTTGTGCTGCAGACCGAGCCCCTGCTGCTTGCACCCATTGCAGCCTCTGCCCTCAGGTTTTGCCCTCCCTGGCCAAGGAAGGGTCCCCCAGCACAGCCCAATAACTCCTCACAAGAAGGGCTGGGTGTTTTTTTGTTCCCTTTTAATTCACCACTCATTCTGGGAAGGGGGGGAGGGAAGGAGAGAAGGAGGGGGATAGAAAATAAATAAATAAAACAACCTCGGATGCTTCAAGAGAATGAAAACCCTGAAACTGCAGTCTGCTGGTGGCTCATCCCGTGGATGGAAGAAGGGAAGGGTGATCCCCTCCAGCTCCTCTCCCCGCCACCCCCATCCCAGCACCAACGCGGTCCAGGTGGGTTCGGATGCGGACGGACGATGCGCCTCAAGAGGAAAATGGAGCTGACCATCGGGACGTGGCTTTTTGCAGCCCAGCACCCCCGGCTCGGCACGCATCCCATCCTGCCTCCCCAGCTATTGCACGAGCTTTGAGATAAAGCCACCGGCGGCACACGGTGCGTCACCGCCGCGGGGCCGAGTCACAAGCAGTCCCTGCACAGAGCCACCTGGCCCTCGCGGTAGTCGCGGCAGGGGCAGAGGCGCCGGTACTTGGTGTTGTGCCCCGCGCAGCTGAAGAGCAGCGGCTCCTTCTGGAGGTAGCACTCGTGAACGTTCTCTGCCACTGCCGGGTAGAGATGGTTCATCTCGTACTCGGTGCTGTCGCAGGTGATGCTGAGCCTGGGAAGGAAAAGAAAGGTGGGGAGGCTGCTGTTCCAGGGCGGGGAGGCTGCCAGGTACTTCACTAACGGTGATGCTCAACCCGCCTTTCCATGTGATAAGCCTTGGGTTGGACCTTTGCTGGATACAGGATCCGTGAGTGCTTGGCACCCTTTGACTCCACATCAAACCCCAAGCCCCATGCAATCAACCCAAGCCTCGAGTGGACCACAGACATCCCCACTAAGAATGTTATACCCTGCCCAGAGAGGTCTGCCTGCTCTGCACACGCTTCCACAAGCAGATGCCATCCCCTGGAAGTGCACCCAACCTCAGTGAATGTTCAGATGTCACCTGGATCAGCAAAATGGGGACACACACCCACAAAAACCCCAGGGGAAGCAAAAGCTGCCCATGCTCTATGCCTCCATGGCCCCCCCAGCCCATCCACGGCTGCCCTGGCTCCAGGGATGGGGGGCACAAAGGGAACACAAGCCCTGGCCCTAATTCATCCTATAAAGCTGTCACCAGGGCTCCAATCGCCTGCCTGGCCAGCGTGACGAAAATGGTAATGTTGGCATCTTAATTGTCCACAGAACTGCCAGGAGCCTGGTGGCAGATTTATACTCTATTAAAACTTCACTGCTGTGTGTTCAAAATGCAGTTTTCAGAGAGAAAGATGTAAAAAGGACAGAAAGGGAGAGAGCAGGCGGGAGGTGGAGAGAAGCGGGGTGGAAGCGGGACAGCAGCAAAATGCCAATGCCATCACTGCTTGTGGAAGCACAGAGCTGCTGGAGCAAGCATGGGGCTGCCGTGGCTGCAAGGGGCTTTTGGGGACAAAGGACACGAGGACAAGGGGAGCTGGGGATACAGAACTGGAGACTGGGGGCCCCCTCCAGCAGCCCCCCCAGGTGTCACCGCCCCGCTGAGGACACTCACTGCAGAAACACCTCCTTCTTGTTGAGGAACCTGAAGAAGGTGGGCTCACACACCAGCCCACGGCGGCGGCACGTCTCGGTGCAGGCATGCTGCCCCTCTGACAGCCACACCTGCAGGGAGTCTGCTGGCGGCCAGGCATGGGGGTCCCGGCGGGCGCTCGGGGACCACACCAGGTGGGTGGCGTTGGGAGACAGGGCCAGAGGGCTCGGAGGGCTTTGCATAGCGGGGCTCTGGGCCTTGGCAGGAGGTGGAGGGGATGGCATGGTGCAGAAATCCTGGAAGGGAAGGGAATAGGTCAGTGCTGGAAGGGGAAGGGTGATGCGCAGGTGTGGGGCTCAGCAGGGCTCAGCATTCCTGGTGGGGACACCTCACAGGCCCAGTGGTTCCTCCCCAGCATTTCTCCCATTCCTCCCCCAGCATAACAGGGACGGTGCCCAACCTGGTGCTGAATGTAGGCGTGGATCCGCTCCAGCATCCCCTCGCAGGTGTACTCGTAAGGCAGGTAAGGGTCCACCTGTGCAGGGGAAGAGCACAGCACTGAAGCAAGAAGCAGGCAAAGCCCTGCCCTGCTCCAGCTCTGACAGCAGCACCTTGAGGCACCGAAGCCCATGGCATGTTTCCCATCACATCACCACTGCACGTTCCTCAGCACCCAAAGCACAAAGCCAGGGATGGGATGCATTTCCCATTATCACTGCGTTTCCTATCACTGGCCAAGTGGGTGATGCTCCTGCCCTTCATCCACCATCAGGCAGAGAGACGTGGAGCGAAGTCGTTCTGCTCCTGAATGAGTTCATCTCCCTTCCCTAAAAATAGCAAGAACCATGTGAGGGCACTGCAGGGATCAGACCCCTTGTGGGGCTGGGAACTCAGCGTGGTATCCCTCATTCCTCTTTGGAAGAAAATGAGGATTGCAAGAGCTCTGCAAGCAAGAACAGGCTTAAGAGAAAGAGGGTGAAGGATTAAATGGGGTTCAACTCACCTCAATAGGTTCAAATGCAGTCACCTTGCTCCACACCCCAGTTTCCCAAGCAAGCCATTTCTGGCAGCATTTCCCATCCCCCTGCAGGTGCTGGTGGCCAACACAGGGCTGTGGGGACCGTGGAGCAAATACGTCCCCCGCAGCCCCACGTTCCTACCTGCTATTTATGCAGAGCCAGCAGCACTTCAACAACCAGTGTATTTATAGCATGGGTTATGAAACACTGCTGGTCCTCACCCGCTCTTCCACATCACACCTCCCTCCTGAGAGCTGCCCTTGTGTCCTGGTGTCGAAATCAACTCCTCCAAAGTGTTCTCAAACCCCGCAGCGTCCCCAGCCCCCATAGCATCACCAAACCCCCCAGCATCCCCAGCTCCACAGCATCACCAAACCCTGCAGCATCGCCATCCCCACATCTCCCCTAATTTTCTATCCCCTGTGGGATGGGCTGGGCAGGTTCTGGAGGCCGCCTTCCCCTTTGCATCTCTGCAGAACCTTATGAAAAGGACGGATGGTAAGTAAAAAATACCCCAGATAATTCATCCGGAAAACACTGCTGCTTCTATTTTCTGCACCTCCAAAATAGCTGTCTCCTTTGAAGCACCTGTCAGAGCCAAGCTCCAAAAGGCTCAGCCTGCCAACAAGATCCCTCTAAGCATCTCTCCACCATAAATATCCCACCTGAGATCTCAGCAAGGCTGGAAATCGCAGCTGCTCTGTCTCATTACAGGTGTGCAGTGTAATTGGTGCTGACACCGTGACAGGCACTGATGCTGCTCAGTTAACCAGGGCCAGGTCTTGCAGCTTTGGGGCTGCAGTGCTCAGCCTTTCACCCCTGCACTCACGACAGCAGTGCTGAGGAGCTTTGCACAGGGTGATGCTCTGCCATTTTCTTGCGAAGGGATTTTGCACTCCTCTCCTGTATGCATCAGTGGGGAATGCAATGCAAAACGCACGGGTGCTTTGGGTTTTTTTTTACAGACCCCATTGGGTATCGCAGAACTGCCTCCCTCTTTCCAAAGGAAAAGGAAGAAAAAAAATCCCTAAGTAAGGAGCAGAAAAATAATGCAATTGTCAGCTGCCCCCCGGCAGCAGGCTGGAAGCACTTGAACCAGCTATTTTCGCTGTGATGTTTAATATGCCACTCTTTCAAGCATAGGCTGAAATGTATAATTTTCCATTATATTCCTGTATATTTGACTTTAATATAATGATGCCTTCTCCCTTCGCTACACCAGAATATTGGGTCTGTTAAATGGCTTGTGCTGGGACAAATGGAAAGAGCTGAAGGCTGAGAAATGGCTGTGCCTGAAAACCTCTCTGCCCTTCTCACCCCAACCTGTGGCAAAGAACTGCAATTCCTCACTGGCACAACAGCAGGGGGTGGCAATCCACCCTCCTGAAAGTGCTCAGCTGAGATTTGCCTTGAAGGTGCAAAGCCAAAGGTGTGTGGTTGGTGGTTTTTCAGTGGCATGAGGAAAAGGGAAAAAGGAAAGAAAAGAAAAGAAAAGAAAAAGGGGGGAGGAAAGGAAAAGGGGACAAGGGGAAAAAGGGAAAAGGAGTAAAGGGGAATAGGGAAAAAAGGAAAAGGGGAGAGGAGAGGAAAAGGGGAAAAGAGAAAATGGAAAAGGGAAACTGAAAAGGAAGGAAAGAAAGGAAAAGGAAAAAGAGTAAAACCAGTTTCAGGTCAGTTTTTAATTCCCACTGTTTCCCAGCAAGGAGAAAAATGCTTTGTTTCAGGTCAGGCAATCTGTTTGGTTTGGTGAGGCAAAGGGAAATGCATCATTTCAGATAGAAGTTTCCTTAGCAGGGCATTTCCAAGCAAAGACACGCAGATGGGAAACAAAAACACATTATTTCATTTCAGTAGTGGTGCAATGCAATGTTCGGAGCAAAAGAAATAAATGGCTGGTGATTATTCTGAAGGAGAGATTTGCCAAACAGTCTGAAAACACAACGCCCTGTTTTGCTACCGGAAAAAAGGAGGCAGAAAACAGTTCCTCCCACCTGGCTGAGCACTGAGCTGCCCGTTCCCAACACCCATCAGCTGTTCTCATTTCCTGCTGCAACCAACAGTATTTTAAAAACAAGATACCGAGGGATTCCCAAAGCCTAAGCCAATAATGGGGCTTTTAAAGCTGTAAGGTGGGTGAACTTTTAGTCTTAATTGCTTTGACAGCATCTCTATACAGATATCTATGTTAAAAACAAACAGGCAGATGCTGACACTTGCTCCACTCGCTCCCTGCTCTGCTTGCAGAGGATATATAGATGGCCTTTAAAAAAGCAAAGGGCAGAGGGGAGTGGTGGGCTGACCCCACTGCACCTCTTGGTGCATGGGAACATCTCCCTGCAGAGCTGTTACAGCACGCTGCTCTGGGCTGTATTCATTTGGGGTGAATTAAGGCTTGGACGTCCTGGCAGCCCCTACAGGGGCATGGCCAGCAGCAGCAAAGCAATGGGGATCCTCCAAAACAAGGGTCCTGGGAGGCTTCCCTGCTCCGTGGAGACATCATTCGATAGACCATGAAGCCATATTTCCAATGTAGGTGCCACACTGCAAAGCAAAACGCCCAGAAAACCCCACAGCCGTGCAACCCCAGGCTGGTGCCACATTCTCTGTGCTGCTGCCTCATCCCCGCTCTCCCCCTTCCTCTCAGCGACGTAGGAGATGTTAATTAAGGAAAGGAGGAAGGATGTGTTGTGTCTGCACCACAACTGCATTTGTATGAGCAGCTGACGTGGGAACGGGGAGAAATCCGGAGATGGAGCCGATGAGCCTGCGGCACAGCTTCCTCACAACCCTTCTTTATTTTTGTTACCTTTCCTTTTTTAACAGCGGAGATCACAGCTAGGCACCTACGTGACCTCATCCACACTGACTCCACATTTCCTCACCGCACAGCTGCTCGTTTTGATGTGCTCACCCCACCAGCATCATCACCCCAAAACCTGCGCACGGCCGTCACGGTGAGGGCACGGCTCATCCCAAGAGCAGCAAAGTGGAGATGAGAGCTGTTCTCACCTTGGCACGGCACAGAGGCTCATTGTGGGGAGCTCTTCTCACCTGGGTCCTCAGGATTGTTTTGATAGCAGCTTCAAACTCCTCAGAGTTATTGTAGTCGACAGTCCACACGTGTGGCTTCCCAATGAAGTCCTCGGCGTACGGGTGCTGGGAGGACACCTATAACACAGCACAGCTGCAGCCTCCGGCTGTGAAACTCCTGCAGGTTGGGATGCTCTGCTCCCAGCTCCACCCCCAGCCCCATAATTCAGGTAACCATAACCTGAACCAGGCAAACCACCCGAAATGGCAAAGCTCTGTGGAAGAACCACATCACAGCTCCAGAAACGACAGCAAATCCATCGCTGCTGAAGGCACAGAAAGGTTGGTCGCCAGAAAAGGCAGTGCTGGAAGCTGCATCACCCCAGTGCTATGTCAATGCTCCACCACCCACCTCTCACTGAGCAGTTTGGGGGGAAATCACTCCTTTTTGGTAAACCAAATGCTGCTTTTCCAGCCTCACACTGCTAAAAGGCACCTAGAGCCCTGGGGGCAGGAGGAGAGAGGATGCTGAGCTGTCTTGGAAGGCACTGCAAAGCAGGAGAACCTGCTAGGAGCAGAGCCATGCATGCTTTTCTTTTTGTCCCACTTGATCTCCCTTCCCATTTGTAGCCAGCAGTGAGCACCTCCTCCCATCCTCCACATGAACACCCCAGGGCACTTCAGAACCTTGGGAGCCATTGGGGACAGTGTGGCACAGCCCAGCCGAGCTCAGGGAGTGAGAACTGTGCCGCATTATCCACTTCATTAATAATAAAAGAGGCAATTTTCTCAACCCTTTAACTTTTAAAGAGTTCCTGCTTTGCTTAGATTGAATTCCCAGCAATGGGCAAGACTGGGAGGGGTGTCATACTCCTGCAGCAACTGCTGAGGTCCCCATATCCTCCTCATTTTACAAAAATGCAATGGGCTGAGGGGGTTCAGGCACCAGCAGAACAGCAGCCCCTATTCCACATCCCTATTTCAGGGATGTGCATGGATCAGCACAGTCGGAAGGGAATGAGCACTGGATTCTGGAGGGGGGTCTGTGAGCATCCCTGCACCACTCTCCCCCTCTGCAACCCCCAGCAGAGCCCCTTCCATCCAACAGATGCACGTTGAGATGATACATTCACATGTTGGGATTTGGAGAAAATCTCTCCAGAGATCTCAGTTGGGTGCTTTTCCCGAGCACTTGCCTCTCTGGAGGTGGGCTTCCCACGGAAGAACTCGTGGTTGAGGGAGCTGTGGGGGGGGTTGAAGCGCGCCTGCAGGAACACACAGCCATTGGCGATGGCCTCCAGTGGGGCTGGACCCTCGTAGGGGAACCCAAAGCCGATGAAGAGCTGTGGGGAGTAAACCCAGGTTGGTGATGTGGAGCTGCAGGCCCATCAGTCCCCAGCCCCATAGGAGAGGCTCCGAATCACCCACCAGCATCCCCCAGCCCTATAGGAAAGACTCCCAGTGACCCAAATTACCCATTGGTATCCCCCAGCACTACAGGAAATGCTCCCAATGACCAACAGCATCCCCTGTGCTGCTCTGTGCAGCAAGCCACTATAGCAGCTCCATGCAGCTCAGCATCCCATAACTTAAATGTGCTCAGAAGCTACTCCACATCAGAGGGAAGCTTTACAACTCATGGCCCAGTGGGGTGCTCATAGCTGTGGAAGCTGCAATGCTCACCCATAGCTACCAGCATCACACCCACCCTGCACAGAGAAGCTCCCATGCCCCCATAAGGAGGGGAGCAGCCCACCTTCGCCTTCCTCAGCAGCTGCTGGAACTCATGCTGTGGCAGCAGCCCGTGGTTCTTGACGAAGGCTGGCACCTCCGGCGGCCGCTGCGTCTCGTAGTACACAGTGCCATGGATCTCCATGTACTTGTTGAGGATGGTCAGGAATTTCTCCTTGCCCTGCAGAAGGAAACAGCACCCCGATGCCAGTATTAAGGATACAGACTGCTGGATTGCAGCACACTGGGTGCAGGGGGTTTGCAAAACCAGGGCTATCGAGCTGGGATGTGGATGGGTGTGTGAAGGGATGTGAGGATGTAACAGCCTCACATCCCATCTAACAAGTCCCTAAGATGCTCTTACTTGGGTTTAATCCTCACGCCTGTTTTATTACCTGGAAAATCAAGGGGGTTATCATTTTTCTTCTTTGGAGGCTTTTGCTCTCCAAAGCAGCCTTCCATTTTAACAATTTCTCTATTGCTCTTTTCTTTTTTTATTATTTTGCTTGGAAGAACACAAACGGGCAGTGCTTTGGATGCTGTATTTTCAGTTTATTCCTGCCCCAAAAGAGCAGACTGGGAGGGAAGGGGGAGGTAAAAATGAGGAACTTGGGAGAGCTGCGCACGCTGCCTTAACGCCTCTCTGAGCACTGCATTTCTGCACTCAGCCACATATCCCAGATTTCTCTATGGCTATCAGCCAGATCTGCATACAGAGCAAAGAAGTCAACCAGCTCTCTCTGGTCAAGTAAGCTGCAGGGTGCCACTGTATGGTAACACCCAGGTGGGCACTGTTCTGATGGCGATTCCCCAATGCAAAGGACTTAGGGAGATGACAATAAAACACTGCTGGTGGGGAGAACCAACATTAAGTGAAACTCCAATGCACAGTGTGGGGAAACAGGTGTAATTCATGACTTCTGGCTAAAAGAGGCAAACATTTGCAATGCTAAGGCAGGCAAATGTTCATTTTAAGTCTCCTGAGTACCTCCCCAAATCGAGCTAACCTAGATGGAGTGCAACCTGGCCTGCATATCTGGCAAGCAGAGCACAGGCAGGGAGGGCAGACCCTGTTCCCTGGGGGTGCTGAGGCCCCAAGAGGCAAACGCGAGGTTTTAATGCAAAGGGTGCAGCACCGTACCTGCAGCTGGAGTATCACCATGGAGCACCAAGGGGAAAAAAGAGAGAAGAAAGAGTTAGCTGTTTCCTTTTATGCCCTGGAATGGCAACGTATGGAAGAGAACGGGACCAGGACATGCTAGGAGCTCCGGCACCCGCAGTCGCGCACCTTCCAGATGCTGGCTTCCTTCCCGTACACCACTGCCATGCTGCTCACTTTGCTGGATTTGATGCGCTGCCGCTCAGTCTGGTTGAGCTCCTCCGACACGAAGCCCATGAAGGAATTGTCCGGGGTGTGCGCTGCGGACACCAAGAACAGATGGACACAGCTGGGACCGCGGCTCCAGAGCTTGGAGGAGAAGCGATGTGAAACACCGGCAAAGTGCCTGAGCCCCCTGACGGCCCCGCTGCGTCCCTATGGCAGTGCTTACGGAACATGGTCATGAACTGGGAGGGGTGCAGGTTCCAGTAGCCCCAGTTGGTGCGGAAGCCGCGCAGCGTGGCGTATTCCTCATGGTTGTAGGCTGGCTCCGTCCCAAAGGTATCGATGACACGAACACGGCACCTGGGACAGGAGACAGAACCCCATCACCTCCCCGTGCCCTAAATGAGCGGTTTCCCATTGCTGGGCTTTTGTCCCCCTGGTGGTTTCCACAACAACGCATCTCCTGAAGACTTGCTAATGCTTTTCCCAATATCCCAGGACTGCTGAGGCAGGCATTACCAGCACGAGAGCAAGGAGAAAAGGGGAACATCAAACCAGAGAGGGAAAAAAAAAACAACAAAACAACAAGCTGAATGCGAGAGCAAATGCATTTATAATAAAAGCAATAACATTGCCTGTCATTTTTCTCTCTAATAAAATTGTGCAGGATAGTGGAAGAGATGGGAGAAAACATAATAAATAGCAGGACTATCAGCACTAAATTAAATTGCATATTCTCCTGGCTGCTGATATAGCAGGGGATGCTGACATTTGTCACGGTGCTGAAGGAGCCGGCGCCGGGGCTCTGCCTCTTGCAGGCATCAAAGGCTCCCACTGCCACAGTAGGGTGGGAACCTCTGCTCACCTGTTGTCCTTTGAGGTCATCGAGATCTGCCTTTGCTTGCTAATTAAGGAAAAGTAGAGCACGAGAAAGAAGTGGTGTTCTCACCTGTATTTCTTAAAGGAGAGCCCCATGTGCTGCTTCATCTGCTGGAGGCCGTGGTAGTCGGTGTAGATCAGGTCAAAAGGCAAAGGGTTCGTCAAGGGGCAGTTTCCCCGTCCTGGAGGCACCCCTAAGTTGCTGGAGGGAAGCAGGAGGCACCGATCAGCTCTGAAGAACACGTGCTCACATGATGGGTGCCTCGGAGGGGTCATCCGGCAGCCCCATGGCATCCGTGTTGTCTTTGTTCCTTGGGAGACACAGGGACAGCCTCGCCCCAAATATCTGCCCACAGGCAGAGCTCCCACATGGGCTGGGGTTCCTCTTCTGGTGCTTGGGGGGCACGGAGAACAGCTCTCCGTTCCATCTGCCCATGGATGTTGAGCATATTTACTCATATTTCTGACTTTGTCCCAGAGAAGCTGGGCACCCCAGGTTGGATGGGGCCATGGGCAGCCTGACCCGGTGCCTGACTGAGTGGTTGGCAGCCGTGTCCATGGCACAAGGGCTGGATGATCTTTGAGGTCCCTTCCAACTCAAACCATTTTGTGTTTCTATGATGTTCTGTGATTTTGCCCCATTAATGACATAACATAATAAAGCCAGGACAGTCAGACTTCGGGCCTTTGCCTAGGATTCTCAGTCAGCCCCTTCAAATAACCCTTCTCAGCCCCTTTTCTCTTCTGCAGCGGATAAAATGCATTATGAAAATCCAGATAAACCGGATTGACCACAATCTCTTTATCAAGATCATCAGTTACCTTGCCCCAACACGCAGTGTGATTAATCTGGCATGATGCACGGCTGGTAAACCAGCAGCATGCCTCCTTCCCTTTTCAATTACCTCCGTGAACTGATGGATCGCTCTCCCCAAAGCTGTTCCATTAAGTGTACTACTGATGTCAGCCCGACAGCCCATCTGCTTGTCTGGACCACATTTCCTCCTCAGAAAAGAAAAAATGTGACACCTTCCAACTCCAGCAGGTTTCTCAAAGATCCTTGCTACATGTACTTGTGATTTCAGTGCAGCAGTTTGCTCAGAAATACAAATGGTCCATCCCTCAGTTTCAATATTCCTGCTAGATTTCAATTTCACTTCTAGATGTGAACTCCTCAAATATTTCACAAGAGCAGCATAGAGAACCGAAGTTGTTGGCCCCAAGATGTTGGGGAACCTGTTACTGGCACAGGTTGCCCAAGGAGGCTGTGGGTGCCACATCCCTGGAGGCATTCAAGGCCAGGCTGGATGTGGCTCTGGGCAGCCTGGTCTGGTGGTTGGCGACCTGCACATAGCAGGGGGTTGGAACTAGATGATAACTGTGGTCCTTTTCAACCCAGGCCATTCTGTGTTGGCCCCAGGAAGCTGGCCCATTTGGTGTGGGTAGGCTCTACCCATCCATCCTTGTAGGTATTTCCTCATTTCTTAGGAATAAAAGATGGGTTGGTGCAATGGGAAATCCATCCTCCAGCCCCATCCCAGCCTGGAACCAGCAGACCAAGGGTGACCTCAAGCCCCCAGGAGTGACCGTGACTCCAGAACAAGCCATCATGGAACGACACCATGGAACCAAAGCACAGATTTTCAATTTAAGGCAAAGAGCTGTGTCTGCAGCCGGTTCAGTGCTCCTGTCACAAGGAATATCAGCACCAGCTCTGGGCAGAGCGGCAGGGTCAGCCGCAGGGGAAACAAGCTGCAATTTTATCACTTTTATGGGCAATTTTACATGACACAGCAGATTGAGAAGATGGCAGGAATAGAAAGGCTCTCACCTCCGAGAACTACCTCAATGAGATAAACAGGGCAGCGAGGAGACCCAAGCCCTCTGGGGGACCCAGCCCAATGGTAGCAAGTAGGAGAAGAGGAATTTTTAAGCCACTGAAGATGCCCAGGATGTTACAGAGATACAATAACAAACTCCACATTTGCTCACATACACTCCGTTTTTTCCCTCAGGCACCAGCAATGCGCTCAGTCCCACCACCTGCCAGCTCTCCCCAGCTTGCAGCATCCCTCGTGCTCCCAGCATCGAGTCAGTGTTTTTCCAGCAAAGCTTCTCTCTGTCCTGTTTACTTATCCTTCCTAAACACTTTTTAACCGCTGATTTTAATATTCTAATCATGCAAATCCGGTTTGCAGCTCCTGGGCAGTGGGATTTTTTCCCCTTTCCTCCTTATTTAAACATCCTTTATTCAAGGCTTTCATCATTTGCCAGTTAAGCCAACTAATTTTCTCCTAAGCCCAATTTCACTCATGGTTGGAGTGAGATTTCCATGATTTTCCCCACTCCGTGTCCTATTAATGACGTTTGAAATTACGCAAATAGAACTGACGAGCACAAATGCTCCTTTCTCAGTGAGCATTTCTGAGAAATGCTCGACCCCAGCACTACACCTGGAGGCAACCCCCCCACTGGGACCTGCCTGCAGTGCTGCCCACATCTCATCCCTGCAGCTCAGCTCCCCCCACTCAGCTCCCCCCGGTGCTGGCAGATGTGAGCCCAGCTCCTCTCTGTCAGCTGCCTCCACCAGCTGTGCCCACTCCAGAATAAATCTAGAGCAGCTTCTTGTCCTGCTATTTTCCCCTTGTAAATACTTGAATCAACCAAGGGGATGCATTCCCTTCCTGAGTGTGGGGCAGGCTCTCTGAATTCAGATGATTGCAGGCTTGTCTTTACATCCCATTGACCTATTTTCAAATTAACCCAAACTTTTCTTCCAGGATGGGAGGGAATGGCCTTACCTTGTGCCTGGGGAGGTTCAGGTTAGGAAAAACTTCTCTGAAAAAGTGGTGATGCATTGGCTGCCCATGGCAGTGGGGGAATCATCATCCCTGGATGTGTTCAAGAACCATGGAGATGTGGCACTGGGGGATGTGGTCAGTGGGCACAGTGGGGTTGGATTGGTATTTGGATTGGATGATATTCTTGGTCCTTCCAACCTTAATGACTCTATGACTCAAAATTCAACAGTACCCAGCTAAATCCCACAGTGGTTAATAAGGTTATCATAACCTCTCCATGATGAAAGCAGAACTTTCTGCAGTGGCACCAAAGCCAGCCAGTGAGTCCTCATTTGGCTACAAAATAAACATATTTCACGAAGGAGTGCAATTTAACAGCTCAGTAATTCGTGCTAATTTATGCACCTTCCTCTCCTACAGGATGAAGACCTCAGAGGTGGTAGAAATCCCTCCCCATCGCTCTCACCCTCATCCCCACTCCTTGCCTGACACATCTCCAAGTCACCCCTTGTTGCTGCTGGAATTAAAGGGGGTTAACTGGAGTAGACTGAAGTTAACTGGAATTGACTGGACTTGACTTCCTGGATGGGAGAGACTGGAGGGAGCCAGGAAGGGATCTGAGCAGAGCTGAGCCCCAAAGATACACTGAGGATGCAGTGACAAGCTAAATGAACCTGCATTTGGAAACACACTGCCACTGAGAATGGCTCTTTCTAGTTGGAAATACAGCAATGAACAAAGAACCTTCCTAGGAAAGATGAAGAACTGCCTGGGATGGGGAGCAGCAGGAGCTCTGGTGCTGGCAGTGCCTGGGCAGAGCCTACTGCCTCTTGCTACCTCAGCTCAACCACGGTACCCACAGTCAGGGCCACTGCTGGCCGTCTGTGTGATGCCAGCACTGCGTCTGCCAACTGCAGAGGGATGGTGATGCCTGCAGCCTGGGCTTTCACACGAACAGATGCAAGACAGAAAGATGGCTTTTATCTGCCAGAACATAATTAGAAATGCCTTCAGCTGGACACCGCCTTTCCATTCGAATGGCCCTTTCTGCAGCCTGAGTACACCTCAGTGGCGGTGGAAAGCACAGGAAAATAGCAGCTCTAATTATGTGTATGGCAGGCAGCGAGGTGGGAGCTGCAGCTTCGGCTGTGGGATGTGGTTCTGGGGCTGTGCAAAGCCTCGTGCCATGCTGTGCCCCATGTGGGATGCCCCTTGCCTCCACCCCAGGGCTGGCAGCACGGAACGAGCACATGCCTAGAATTAAGTGCCTTGCCAAGGCCCATATTATGAGCCCAGGACTTGACACCAGAGCAATTAAGCTCCAAGAGCACTTCGTAAAGCACTGACCCCACGAGGCATCAAATCCAGTTTTCTTCGACTTTCTGTCCTGCCTTATGAGCAGTTAATTTCAAGGGGGCAATTTCAAAAGCACCTTTCAGCGCTGCCGAGATCGATGCTCCCCATCACTCCCATTCTTCTCCCCAGCAATCCCTACATGCAGCTGGCCATGCTGACATGATGACAGCCACTGGTGCCCATCATCACATCACATCCCATCACCAGCTGCATTTAGAATGGGGCAGGAGCCCACCATGCCATGTCTGCAGGGGGGCTGGGGAGGCAGAGGCTCAGCTCTCTGCACCCATAGGCTCACAGTGCAGTGGTGCAGCCTGGTGCTGCTGCTCTCCTCTTTGGGAGCCAGGGCACAGCCGTGTTCCAGCACAGCTAATGAGTGCCCAGCAATTTCTCATGCCCATTACTGGGTAATCTCATGTGTTGCCTCTTGCCTCACATCAGGAGCTAACAAATCAGCTAACAAATTCACAGAAGAGGACAAACACCTGCACGTTGTTCAGCAGCTCTGGTAGGTCACAGCAGTGTCATTCACAGGTCTCGAATGAGTGGCTAAAAGCTGAAGCAGGAGATGTTGTGTGTCCGTAATTGAGCTCTTTGGGAAGTGCTGAGCTACAGGATCTGCCCAACCAGGACAGACAGACAGAGAGTGCAATAGGAACAAAGGGATTAAGGGATGTGATGGGGACATGCAGCACACTGCCCATCGGGGAGGGGAACAACGCACTGGTTTGGGACAGTGCATTCACCTTCAGAAACAGCCCTCCAACTGCTGCCTTCCTGCACAGGAACTTCCTACTGCCTGCCTGATCCTCAGCACTACAGGCCCAATCCTGACCACTGCCTCCAAGCACTGCTGCATTGCAATCAATATACACACTAGTAATGAACAGCTGCTCGTAGGTAACTATTGGCTGAAGCACGCGTGTGCAAACCTTTTAGCAATCCCTTGCCAATGATCAATACATGTATAAAAATCAGCTCAGAAATGCAAAGAGACAAACCAGGAGAGAGGTTATTTCATGCTGAATAATTCACGGGTACCCATGCAAGGCCGTGCTGGGAAGGAGCATTTACAACTCCGAGCTGCAAAGAGAGCAGGGGTTACCAAAGAGAAATGCATAAAATGCAGAGTTAACATTTCACATTTATGGAGCAGAGCATCTCCAAACCAGACTGCTGGCTGCAGGTTGAGCTGCTGATTGCATCCCAGGCTCTCTGCACACCCGCAGCAGCAAAGCCCCCGTTGGGCTTTTGCTAAGCATACGAGATTAATGGTAGCACAGCTCGTTATTAACCACGCTTGTTCAGCTAAGTCTCCTGCTTGCTCCTGTGGTGTAAGGGCTTATCTCTGCTCTGCTCTGAGCCACACTGCCCCACAGCAGGGATGTTTCTGAAAGGTCAGCAATAAAGAGACAGATGCACCAACTCTGCTCAGCACCTCACAAAGGGACCCCTGCATCCAACAGAGGGACAGGACTTCCTCCAGACCCAGACAAGACCAGGAGCCCCATCCTAGGGCAATGCAGGGGCTCCTTCCCCTCATTAAACCACCACCATGAGGCTCTCCATCAAAAAACACAAACGAGAACCACACAACAACAGGGACACCCTGCCATCCATTAACTTCACCCATCCTCGGGCACAGGGACATTATTCAGTGTGTCAGTCCAACCCAGCACGGGGCACAGCATGGAGATGGCTGCAATGCATTCCTGCGCCTTTCTGAGAAGCTGCACGAGGACCAGGATTATAATTTTTTTAGTTAATTAGTCAGGAGCTAATTCTGTTCATTAATTCTGAATGCTGCAAGGGCTGGGTTGGATTTTTTCATTGTGTTTTTTTCTTTCTCTCCAAGATCGCTGTTTATTTTTCTCACTCCCTTTCCAGCACGGCTCATTATGCAGCAGAGCTGGCTTAAGCATCACCCAAAATCTTGGCGGCCCACAGGACAACACAGGGCTGTTCTCCATTCACAACCTGCCCCCTCCAGCATTTTCACTGGCACTTGCCCTGCAGCTCACATCCCTGGCAGCAGCTGAGGAGAGCTTTGTGATACCATTGGCACCACCAGCCTGGTCATAACTCAGCATGCAGCAGAGCCCAGGTGTCTCATACACAGTTAGCATCTCCTTTTTACCTTTTCTGCTGAATATTCATCTCTCTTGGAGCCCACACAAGTGCTCTGAGTGGATGGGTGCAGCCATCTGCTTGCACTTGCTCTGCATTTCCATATGCTACACTGCAGAAGTGTCCCAGCAGTGGCCAATTCCCACCCAGGTCACACTGCAGCCACCACCCTGCAAGGGATGGGGGTTATTTCTGGCAGCCTTACTCAGCCACTCAGCAGGAAGGGTGGGAGGGGAGGAAGGAAGGAAAGAGCACAGCCACTGCTCACACAACACCGGGGGAGAGCTGGGGGCTGAGCACCCCCTATGGCACTGAAGCATAGGACAGCTGTGTCATGGGGCCACGTGTACCTGCAGAGAGCATCACTGGGGAGCAGGGGACAGAGGGGCCACAGGGGATGCTGTGTGCTGCAAGCAACGCATCAGTAATGCTCAGATCTAGCACCACGACTACAGGGCAAAGCCTTGCCCTAACAACCTGCACCATGCCTTGGTTTCATAGAATCCTAGGGTTGGAAGGGACCCACGGCACCAACCTCTGCAGCTCCTTCAGTGAGACTGTCACCTTCAGGCTGTGTCCCAGCAGGAAAAGGGCAGCCAGGATGTCGGCCCACTGCACCATCTCACCCAGGGGCCCCCCTTTCAGCACCCGTGGGCTGAAGACGTCCCCTGACTCCTCGGTCAGGAAGCCGATGTGAATCAGGATCTGTAGAGAGAGGGACAACAAGCTGCTGACAGCCAAAAATGACTGCTGGTCTCTTTCCACTTCTGCAGGCTGAAATTACTCAGGGAAACCACTCGGGTGTAAGGACAAGCGGCCTATGTCCAATTAGCAGAGATCCAATATTCAGTGTCTAGCTCTATCTTCGGATATGGTCCATTTTCCCCATGCACACTGGGGTTTGTCCATGGATGCAGAGCACATCTCCCTGTAGAAAGGGGCCTAGAGAGCAGCAGGAAGATGCCTCCAGCATCTGAAAGGAGATGTGCCACCCCATGCCCCACTCACTGCTGGTACCAACCCAGGGATGGACACCTCCTGCTGACCAGGACCCAGCTCCAAAATCCTGCCCAGCTCTTCAGCCATGGCCACGACCACCCCACTGATAACACAGCTCGAACCCCACAGATCTGCTGCTCTCACTTCCCCATGTCCTCATCCCCACATCAACCCCACCACGCAATTGGCTCCTACATGTTTTTGGTCCCCCTGCCGTCCCTTCAGCTTCTGCTCGAGGCGTCGGGCTGCCCGCAGCCACTGCTGGGCCAGGTGCCGGATCCTCTTCTTCATGAAGCTGAGGGACTCCTTGCCCGTGCCCACCAGCTCCAGCAATGGGGCCAGGTCGCTGCGGAAAGCTGCCTGCAGGAATGGAGCACTGCTGATTGCTATCAGGCATCACAGAATCACATAACCATGAGATATCCCACATTGGAAGGCACCATGAGGAGCACTGAGTCCAACAAAATGACCACCCAAAACTCAATCCTAACTCTGATAGCGGTGTCCAATGCTTCCAAAGTTTCAGCAGCTCAGGGAAATGCCTGCTGCCCTGAGGAGCTGCTTCATGCCCACCAGCCTCTAGCGCAGAAACTTCTCTTAATGTCCAATCTGAGCATTGTAATAAGATTGCAATTAGGGTCCATTAGAGAGGGGTGGTTTCACTTGCATGTTTTCTAAACTGGTGCCTCTTTGTGGCATCCCAGGTGGGAGAGGACCTGCATGTGGCATCAAGATGGGTGCTGGGGGTCTGCTGGCACCACTGCCTTGGGGGCACCACTGTCACAGCCCCGACCCCATTGTTATCCCATGGGCCCTACCTGGGCGCGGGGCAGCGGTGGAGGGGACGGTGCGGCCGTCTGGTTCCTCCAGGGTAGGGGAGGACAGAACCACTCAACTTCACTGAGGTAGATGAGGAAGGAGCACTCGGTGCCATCCACGCCAAAAAACGCATAGCAGGGGTCAGAAGTCCACCTGGCCCTCATCCACTGCAAAGGGACGAAGGAACACAAATGGGGCTCATCCACACTCCCAGCTCACGCACCCACAGCTGTCCCTGAGGTGGTTCCGGGTGCACAACAGCCACTGATTGCAGCCCCCATTCATCACCCCCTGACCAGCCTGTAGTTAATTCAACAAATCTACTCAGAGACAGCTCGCTGTGCCCGCTATGTAAAATGCACCAATCACCCAGACAGGAGATCGAATTATAGCCTTTGACAATTAAATTACATTCCAAATTAACTCCAGTTGTGGATAGAAAGCATGCCCAGCACTAGGGGAATGAGGAAGATCTCGTGCCCCAGTCCAGTGTTGCTTCAATATACCCTTCAGCATCCTTTCAGGTAGAATCAGCCCAGAGCCGGAAGCAGCAGGCTGGGAAGGAGGGGAGAGGGGAAATGTTTTTAATTAGCCCACACAAACGTGCTCTCTGACAAAGAGATCACACTGAAGGCCAAACGGCAGGCTGTGTGCAGGTGTGGGGAGCATGCAGTGTCAGCCAGGACATTGCTTCAGAATGGAGGTCCTTGCCACCATAACGAGATGTGCTCCTGTGCCACGCTGAGATTATTCCCCAGGCACCAGCCATGCCCCAGATATTTAAAGAAGATATGACAGCGCTTTCTCCTCACCGTGCTTCTGACATTAAACACAGAAAGTACAGGCAGGGAGAGGCAGCCTCACAGAGATGGTTCTGCTATTGCCTGCAAAGCTGCGGGTACAGCCTCACACCTCCCCGTGGCCTCGTGGCAATTGGGCATGTGGGGAGCTTCAACTCACCTCCACCTTCCCAGCGCAGTCGGGGTACTTGGGGTCCCTGGGCACCTCGCACTGGTCCCTCCTGCCATCCCCCACTGCAGAGAGACAAGGAAGGTAGCAGATGCCAACACAAGAAACGGATGGGGCTGGAAGAGCTGGGCACCTGAGTACAACACTCACTTTTTGCATTCATGAGGCTATTCCGGAGAATCTGGTCTACTTTTATTGCGATGTCTGAGACGTTTTGAGCTATAGCTTGGATCCTCTCCATCAAACCGGCCGCTGGCTGCAACCTGGGAAGAAAGAAGAGAGACCCTACAAACATCCTGAAAATCCAGGCTGGATTGTAGGCTGCAGGCTTGTAGGCTGCAACACGGCAGTGCCTTGAAGAGTTCTAACTTTAAAACAGCATAAAACAGTTTTTCTGCTATTTTTTGCAGCACGCTCATAAACAGCAATACATCTCTGCATTTTACATCGGGAACTGCTAAATATGCTGGCGAAATCTGTTTGCGTTATTTCAGACGTGCTATGCTTGAAAATCCTCCGCTGTGATTATTGGCCTTGCAGCGCACGCAGGAAGGCACGGGGAGTTAAAAAAGGAGAAAGAACCAAAAATTGAGCAAAAGGATGACACAAATAGCAACAGGCAAAGAAAGCCCTGAGAATCACGAACAACGACGCACGGATGGCCTGAAGTCCAATCCCACCGACAACGAGCAGACCTCCAGACCCAAAGGTGAGGGCTATGGGGCAAGGGGAGATGACAGAGACAGGGAGACCAGCAGCAGAGCCCAGGCTGGCACTGAGCTCCATGTCGTGGCTCCGTAGAGCTCCTGGGCACCATCCCAGTGTGGTCAAAGACCCAACCCCACTGGCTCGAATGGCTGCACATGGCAGCTATTGAACCGCCACTCGCAATCAATCCCAGCTATGTAAACAGCACCATTACCCTCCACACATCTCCTGGCACAGACAGAGCAGCACGAGTGACAGAGCACGGCAGAGATGCCTGATGTCAATTAGAACCTGATGTCAGGTATAAAAAGGGCAGAGAATTCAATCCGTGAGCAGCGGTGCCGCACTCGACAGATTTCCACCTCCAATGCTCCTCTTGCCATTTCCACTGCAAACGACGCCTTGATGAGCGCTGTTATCACAGCAAATAATTTCCCCTTCTGCAGCGGCTGGGTCATGGATTTTTCTTGCTTCTGCTGAGATCATTATAATACAAGGAGATGTCATAAGCAGTGAGCAGGACCAAAAGGGCTACCTTGAATACCGCTGGCACAAAAATACGTGCTGATATCAGGCCCTTCCCTCTGAAGTTTTATGTTTGTTCTCCAGCAGATCACTGAAGCTGAAGGCTGCGATTTAAAGTACCTCTGTCCTCAAGGCTAAAAAAATCCTGGGTTTATGAACCGATACTGCTCCGGCTGTTGATTTAAGGTCCACTCTCCAGCAGCAAGCAGCCCACATTTTTCCTCCTGGCATGGTTTACAACCATCGATACTCAACCTGCATACCTCCACGGGGAACCACATATCTTAGGCTTTTAAGAAATAATAAATGCAGAGGACGCCATTGCCCCTAAGTAACTTTCAACCTTTTGCAGAGAAGAAAGCCCAGGTCTCCTGCCAGCTGCTGTAACAGGGAGAATCCTTGTGAGGCCCTGGTAAAACACAGGCACATAAATGACCTGTGACAAGCTTAGCTTGTGAGCACAGCTTCAGTCTGAGGGAGCCCTGAAAGCTCCTAAATCCCACTTTTCTGCAGGTCTTTATCCACCAGGAAGCAGCAGTCAGACCACTGTACATGTCTGTAGGGACAAAAAGAAAGGTTGGGATGGGCAGGATAGGAGCAAACTCAAGAATTAGTGAATTTAGAGTCAACAAGCCCAACCTTCTGCTCAAACAGGACAGGGATGTTGGGTGGTGTAGCTGCTCCCCATGTTTCCCCAGCACTCACAGGAGTGCAAGAGGATGGGAACAGATACAACTTCTACCTCCACCTAGAAGCCATCCCAACCCCTGATAGGCTCTAAACCAGCTTGCTACCAGCCAAGAATTCGGTGAATCCCAAAGGCCCATGTCATTACAGGAGAGTTGGACTAGATGAGCTCTAAAAGTCCCTTCCAACACAAATAATTCTATGAAAGGTTGAATGTCTCCATCCCATCCCCAAATGTGAGATTCTCCAAGGTTGAGAACTGGCAAATGCATTCATGTGAGATCAGGACTGTCCAAACCCAAGGCTTTCTCTGGGCTCATCCTCACAAACAGCCTGCATCCTGCTGGCTCCCAAGACTTATCCTGGCATTTATGTCAGCCTGCCTGGCTCCTGTATGATACAGCTGTTCCCTGAACACAAAGGCTTCAAGGCAGAGCCCTTTGATATTAAAAGGGTGTTTGATCACGGTGTGCAAGCAGCACTTCTAGTTCTCTTGAACAAGACATCCACGTTGCATTCATGTGCAGAACGTTCAAAGTGCAGAAGCCTTACCTAAGAGGAAATGAGAACTGAAACAACCTGGATCAAGAAAGGGAATATTTCCTTCCCTTCAGCTATTTAGGAGTTGAAATGTCCAGCACAGTTCTTGGCATCTTTCGTATGTTAAAAGAAAGAAATAATCATAGAAAACACCCAAAACAGGGAGTCACACTCCATCTCCCACCCACCACATGCTTACCACTTTCATTACCCAAAGGAGCTTTCTCCAGCAAGGAGTTTCATGCTTGGGGTGAAAGCTGCACCGGTGCTACAGGGCTGCAGCTCGAGCAGGACATTTCATTGAATGCATTAATGAGACGACAAGGAGGTTAAGTAGAAGTTATATCAATTATCATTAAAGTGATTTGTCTCCTGAGCAGAGGACAAGGAAATAAGACAGTTAAAAGCAAAAGCTCAAATGCAAGAAGGTTTTCCTGGAGCTCATCAGAATCTGATGCCTTACTCCTAGTAACTGGAGAAGGACAAGGTGAGGGGCCCATGTGCTAACTGACAGCTAAGCAGGATGGAGAGATTGTTTGTCATCCAAAAACACCACAGCAAAGCACCAGCATGGTGAAACCCAGAGCTTGCCCCCAGCCATCCCCTTGCACAGAGCCCTTTCTCCTTGCTGCTTTTTGACTGTTCCTACAGCGACAATATAAATGCCACCAAATACACGGGGACTATGCCAGCATTGAAACTATAGTAAATTGCTATAAGTTTTCTGGAACAAATTTTTCCCTGGGAACTTAAAACCATTTACTGCAGCAAATACAGTACTTTTACTCCTAACCATCAATATTGATTTCATCTTTATTATTTTCAGACTTATACTTCCCTACGTTGATTACGATTCAGATCACGCTGTGGCTTATAATGCACTGTATACAGTATTCATCTCATTCCAAAAACTGCTATTAAGACGTATCTTTCCCCACAGGCGGATCATTTGCCACATAACGCAGCCAGAGGTTGAGTTTTCCTTTCCTTTTTCATACATTAATTTGCTCCCCTTCGCTTTGCCTTTTGCCCCCAGCCCTGCCGCACTAATTCAGCCTCAGCCTGGTTATCTCTTCACAGAGCACCACGCTTTTATTGCCTTTTATAAAAAGCAGCATTAGGAAAAGACAGATCTCCTATTTGTGTGTCGTCTCCGTAATACAAACCCTGAGCATGTTTGTTTGCTCTTCTGACATTTCTTCCGATCGCTGTTGGAGAGGGCGATGCGCACGGAGAAGAGCAGATGTTTGGAAGGTAACACATCCACATCCCAGCACTCATGCAGAGCCCTTCACCAAAGGGCTGTGCTTGCTCATGATGATATTTGTGCTGCCATTTGCTGCTTTACAATCATAGAGTCGTTAAGGTTGGCACGGCCTAAGGCCATCCAGTCCAATCACCGACCTGTGGCCAATACTGCCCGCTGCCCACATCCCTCAGTGCCACATCTCCATGGCTCCTGAGTGCCTCCAGGGATGGTGGGTGACTCCACCACCCCCCTGGGCAGCTGTGCCTCTGCATCATGATTTTACAGAGAATATTGAAAGATTTTGTTACCCAAAGGCACGAAGCAGAACAGCAATCCTTTGCTCTCTGTGAATTCATATGGGGCAAACAACCTGGAGAATGCTTTTTGGGACAGGAGAGCTCCATGGGATCTCATTTGAAGCACATACTGGATGTTGCAGGAGCAGAGCTGAGCTACATCCAAGCAAACTGCAGAAAGGAAACCACGTGCGTGGCCAGCCCCAGCTGTCCAAATGACAGATCGAGTCATAAATACCGGGGCATTTTACATGCTGAAGTATTTCAATTTATTTTATTTTCCATTTACAGCAGTTGATGTTGCTCACAAAAAATGCATTTAAAGGGCCAGACCCCGAGTGAGCTGCAGCCCTCGAGAAACCTCTGCCATTTCAGCAATGAATTGCACGAAAATAAGATCTCTTGGCAAGAGAACAAGTCGCAGCCAGAATCACAGACCTGCCGGGAGCAGCTCACACCAACACATTGACCAGTTCCAGTATCACAGACCTGCAACTTGCACTGCTGCAACACAAGCAGAACTTGCCAGCAGTCAAAATTGTTGATTAAAATGTTCTAAGAATGCTGTAAGATGCTGAGAGATCCTTCCAAGCAGATTATGGGGCTGCATTCACAAGCCCAAGCCTTGTTTTCTTAGAATCATAGAATCCCAGAATGGTTTGGGTCGGAAGAGACCTCAATGACCATCCAGTCCCAACCTTCCTGCTGCAGGCAGGGCTGCCAACCTCTACATCAGGTACCACATCAGGTTTCCCAGAGCCCCATCCAACCTGGCCTTGGGCACCTCCAGGGATGGGGTACCGTGAGCAGAACAGAGCCCTAAGCACAGGCAGCAGCAACTTATGTTCCTGGGAACATGAAGGGTTATGGCTCAGTCACTTCAATGTCCGTTCATCTTTACTTGATAGGGGCATAAATCAGCTACATGTGCCTCCATGCCCAGACAGTCTGATGCCTGCAGGCTGCTGGGAAGAGCCTTTGGTGAGCCCAGGAAGCTTCACCATTCCTCCATGGAAGCTGCCTTCAAGTCAGCCCCAAAACACCCAGTTGTGCCCACACACCATTCTCCAAGATCCGTGTTGTGGGCACCAATGGAGGATGCACTCAAATTCCATGGTGCTGAGGACTAGCCAGCCACCCAAACACAGCTCAAAGCCACTTGCCCTTTGTGTGTCGAGGCATCAAACCACCCCTTCTGCAAAGACATAAGGCAGCCCCAAGAGCATCGCTGCTTCAGGGTGCAAAGGCCCAAAAACAGCAGAAAGCAAAGGCTGCTGGGGAAGTGGCTGCAGCAAACCTGGAGGTGCTGAATAGGTGCAAGCACAGAATCGATAAGAGAGAGAACCTGGGTGCTGCTGGGGGTGCCCACCTTTAGCAGAAGTGTCACTGAAGGCAGCTCTTTAATGGCAGCAATTTGGGGAGCCGGGTTGGCAGGATGCAGGAGCATCACCCACTTGGAGTCATACTGTGAGACTTCTAATTCCCAGGGGAATATGGAGTTGTGTAACAATTATAAGAACAAATACTTGAAGTGCGTGGAAATTAACTGAGCCTCGGCAGTAATTAAGCCTGAAGATTAATCAGCCATTAGTAAACAACAGCCTACACGTTATCCACCACACAGGGCCAGTGGATGAGAAGGGCAGCAGGGCAAACCCCCACCCAGGACCCCGCTGTCACCTGCCACCTGAGGACAGCCCCAGCACCCAGACCTGGGCTCCTGTGAGCCCCCAGCTCCCGAGTCCAGCTGACATCAGCCCCTGCACAGCCCCTCCATCCCTCCCTAGGTTCTTTCCAGCCAGGCACCACTGCTCTCACCGTGTGCTAATACTTCCCCTGCCCAGCAAACAGCTCTCCAGGAGGCTTCCATAAGTACTTCTCATTTCCTGCCCTCTGATGATTTATGAGGGTTGCATTCAATTAACAGTGGTATTGATTTTCCCGCAGCTGACTGGCAGCCTGCTCGTGCTTGTTGGGAAATTCATCGCTTACCTTTCTGCATGGGCAGGAAGCAGGAAAGGCTGGAAAAGGCATTCAGCAAAATCCAGTAGATTCTCAGCTCATGCCTTCCATCCCAGATTGACAAACTAGGGGCCTTCACAAAAAAATCCTGGTCACCTTATCTAAAGAGGATGTTGGACACCTGTGTCTATCCAAAGCTGTCCCTGAAGCATTGCAGGAGATGGATTTGACACATGTGAGTGCCTATAGACAGCACCTATGGGGCAACAAGCAAAGCCTCAGGTGACTTTAGCCGTGAAAAACCCTGCAGTCACTTCCAGCTGCGTTGCTCCTGACAGCTGAGCAGATTTCCAAGGCTGCTAATTAATTATATCTCGCTTATTTGAATTCCTCTATGCACTTTCTGAGTAGAAAGCCATCCCTGCAGGTCTGACATGAGGGCACTGGGAGCAAGGGACATGCTGGGGGCTGTGCTGCTGGTCGATGATCTTGAGGTCTTTTCCACCTCCAATGGTTCTATGATCCCTTGGACGACCTTGAGGATCTTCTCCAACCTTAGTGACCCTATGATTCTATAGACTTGAGGGTCTTTTCCAACATCAGTGATTCTATGACTCCATAAAGCGCAGAGGAGCTTTGGCTCATTCCTACCCAGGAGGTGCCCCCACCTCCACTGTTTTTGTGGAGATCCAACACAGCAGGAGAGCCCCTGGTAGAAGCAGGGCAGATCCCAGTGCTGCTCAGGGGGAGTCGCGGGTGCCTCTGCTGAGCAGAGGAGGACACAATTGTGGCAGCCGTGCTAACCAGAGGGGCTTTAAAGAATTAAATCCCTTTGAAATTATCACCCTTTAATTGTATTATCATTCGCTGACAGCTTCAAGTCGGTCACTGGAGATCAAAGGAGGGTGTTTGTAAATGCTGCTGGGACCATCAGCCCCACCACAATGCCTTCATCTGCAGACGCAGGACGCAAATTCAGCCATAACATGGGCTGGATGACAGTGCAGGAAAATGACTGTATGGTACCAATGGTCCATGCAGCAGCTCAGCTCGATGGAGATGCTCATGGGGCTCGGAGCATGGGACTGCTTCCAAGCGGTGTTTGTAGCATGCACAGAGCCTCGCTCGTTTGCTCGGGTTCATCTCACTGCTTTTATCATTTGGGATGCTCTCAGAGGGGAAATGTTTAAGGAGGAAAAGGTGATGAGCTGGAAGAAGTTGATCCTGCCAAGGAATACTCTGCTCCTGAAAATTAAGGGATCTGTAATTTCAGCCACCCAATGCCATCTCAGCACAGCTACAAAATACAGAGGATGCTTCCACACACTCCATGCTCTACAATCCCTCTCAGGCTCAGCAGGATCAGACACCCTCAGCACAGACAGGCCACCATGTGGCACCAAGGGCCACGATTCCCTTCGAGAAGCCCAAGACCCCCCTGGGGATGAGCAATTCCTTGGGGCTGCTGCCACCCAATGTGAGCAGCGACTGCTGCCAGCTCATATAAACGCCTTTAAGTTCATCTCTGATGCACAGAAATTATTACAACCTGGAATTAATGGTTCATTTAATGAGAAATTCACCCAAAACATCACCAAATGAGAGCAAGTTCCTTCCAGTCTAGCAGCCACATCCCTTCCTCTCCAGGATTGCTGCTGGTGCACATGGCCAACACGCAGCCTCGCAACAATAAAATCCCCAGCACCTGCCATTACAGAGGCAAATTATATTTTTCAGTGGTTAAAATTACATTACTTAAAAGGCAAAGCCATGCACTCCCAGGCTTCCTGCACAGCTTTAATTCGTGTGTGCACTCAGTTCAGCGCAGCACAGCCTTTAATTACAGGCTCTCTTACTATATTTTCTATTATAGGCGCAGAAGAGGCTCATAAGAAAAGCAGTGGGGAGAGGAATGGAAGTGATTGGTGGGGATGGGGAAGCGCAGAAACCCTCAGTGGTGACAAGGCAGTGGGGACCTTTGCACAGCCAATGAGTCACCCACAACTCCATCAGAGCAAAATCAACAGCGCCAGGTAGAAGATGAGGGCCAGCAAGGTTGGGATTTTCCTGCCCCATTCCAAGGTGCTGGGCACGGCAACCGCCCTACGAAGCCCCCAAGCTCATGATTTTGGGGACAGCAGCGGCGCATGGGGGCATCGGTGCCTCCAACTGACCTGTCCAGAGGGAAGAGTGCCTCGTTCCCTTTGTGGAAGTCAGTGCTGTTCTCCAGCCTGGCCAGGATGTCCATCCTCTTCATCAGCAGCTCCAGCATGTCGCTCATCCGCCGCAGCACCCCTCGGGACTCCAGAGCGCCCATCACTGTGAGGCACAGAGAGCAAAAGGGACACAGTCACAGCCAGGTGCTGCCAAGGGGAATGAGCTGGGTGCTGAAGCAGAGTCTCTGCAAAGCTCAGCCCCAAAGCTGCCCTCACTGAACTCCCCAGCCCTGGGCACAGTGCTTCAGGGAGCACACGCTGCCCTGCTGTCCCCTTACAGCTTTGCAGCCCCATACCTGCTGTTAGGTGCAGCTCAGACAGAGCCCTGCTGCACCTGAGTTTGGCTCAGGCAACAGATCCCTGTTTGTGCATCGCAGCTCAGCCAACTCCCAGCATGGCAGCCCTGGGTCCCAGCCCCATTTCACACTCTGCTGGCACAGCTCAGGTTGCTGTCATGCCTGCAGCTGTTTCCTGAGCCCCATACCTGCAGCAGGCAGGCTCCTGGTTTGATCTTCAGTGTAATGCCAGTCAGCTCAGAGCCAAGCAACGGAAAATAAAGCTCCTGTTTCATCTCAGCGCCATTTATTTCATGTTAGTAATAACTTAATCAGCACATAATCCCCCAAACTTTTCTCATTTTGCTTATCTCTGCCATTCCACTCAGATAAGCTCTGCGAAGGGCAGTACACATTGCAGTTACAAAGCAGCAGGGGACGAGCAGGCAGCACGGGGACGCATGGACACCTCATGGCATTGGGAATGGGGCACCTCTGGGGCAGCACAAGCTGTATTCGTGGCAAGAAGTCAGGGACTTCTGCTTGAATCTTTGGATGCCTGAGGTACTGGCCAGACTGGGGGACACAGTAGCCCTGTTTGTCTATCCCGGTGCCCAAGCTAGGGTGCAGCCCTCTGGGCAGGACATGAGCCCCAGCTTTCCCCATTAAGAAGCAAAATTGCTAACAAAGGTGCAATTTAAAGATTTTGTGGGGGACAGAGGTGGAAACTCAGATGCTGGAGTTCAATTTGCACTGGCCAAGTGCATCTCCAAACACAGCCCAAACACAGAGCCAACACAAACATAACAGCTGGAAGAGGGGCTTAAGTCAGAAAATGCATCAGGAGTCCACAGCCATGCTGTGCTGCTGGGAAGGAGCGAGGACAGAGCCTGGAAAGGGAGTGAAGATGATTAACAGCCACCGAGCCGGGCTGCTGCCCCAGTTTGCAGCCAGACTGCATCCGTTTAATTAAGGATGCTTGTTTAGTGGTGCTCCTCGTTTGAAATTCAAACGGCTGCTCATACAGCCCTGGCACGGAAGCAGCTCTGCCCCTTATTAAAGCACAGAACCTGGAAAAGCCCTTCCTGAGGGGCACTCACATCCCCAGGGGCTCCCCAGGGAGAATTCCCACATCCTTCCTCCGCATCCCAGCGCTCCTTCTTCCACATCCCAACTCTCCTTTCCTGGCATCCCAAAGCTGCTGCTGGGGAGTGGAGTTCTCCCTGTGGGCAGCACATCCCCTGCCCAAAAGCAGCAGTCCCAGCACGTGTTCCCCCCACCCATGCCCCCCCCTGGCTCCCGGGGATGAAGCTGAAGCTCTTCCCCACCAACCCCTCTCTTTTTCTGCTGTTGGCCTTTTTGTTGTTGTTGTTCCAGGAGCTTAAGGAGGATAACAAGAACAATCTGACACTTTTGGCAACGATTATTACATCTCCTGGAAAGTGTGCCTCATTAAAACCCAAAAGAAAGGAGGAAAAGTGCTGAAGCGACTCTTTTAAACACGCAGGAGCTGGGATGGATTCGTTAACCTGTGGCGGAGCGCTGTGTCTGGGGGGAGCCACGCAGCCCCAGAAGGGGATCTGCAGCCTTGAAGCCATGATGAAGAGTATGGCAGGAGGCAGGAGAACCCAAAACCCCTCTCAGCAGCACAAACCCCTGCAAAACAAGCCTGGCAAGCGACTTTTCTCAGCAAAACAAAAGCAAAATACAAAAGGAGAAATATTCTAATTACCCCTGATAATCAGCTCTGATGGGAAAGAAAACACAAGGAAAACTACTCAATGGATTAATTGGAGTTTGCTAAAGTATGACAGCTCCTGACAGCTCTCTGAGCAGCAGGCACTCTTTAAAGGCAATCACCAAACCTGACAGAGGTTTTCATAGCGGCACTATGAAATAATGATTGCAATCAATCATATCTTACTGGATTTCGTGAGACATGCTGGTAAACACAGCGAAGGGAGGAGAATTATTTATGGTGCCTCAGAAGAGCATACAGCTAAGTAATTGGATGAAATCAGGGGAGGAAAAGAAAGCATCCCCTCAGGGCGATGGCTATTGGAAGAAGAAAGAGTTTCTCTGCAGAAGCAGTGGAACAGTCAGCAGCCGACGTGTCGGGATGTGGATGGAAGAAAAACAAGTGTTTCTCTGCAGAACTGATGGAACAGCCAACGTGTCGAGGTGCGGGTGGGTCCTCCCCAGCCGTGCTGAGGAAACTGAGGCACATCTGAGCCCACCTCCCTGCTCTGAAAGCATCCCCTGGTGTTGAGAATGCAATTTGACAATATATCCTCGCTGTTTGTAACATGGCTGATTAGTTGTGGATTTTTTTCCCCTCCTTCTCAGACATAAGTCACATCCCTGCCTGGCTGTCGCACTACAGCTGAACGCTCCGCTACAAGCAGGGAATTTGCTCAGCGATGCTGAGGTATTACTTACATCCACTGAAAATACCAGCTGAATTAATTTCAATCTAAAGCATCATTTGCTCAGCTTTGTTTTCCTCCTCTAAAGGACAACCGGAGGCTACTTAAACTCCTCGAAAGGACAAGGTGGATTGCAAGGGAGGAGCAGCTGCTCCCGGCTGCTCAGCAGCGCCCAGCCTTCAGCTTCGCGCCGCCCCGGGGCCGCAGGGACGGAGATGCGCGGGGCGGGCGCTGGCCGTGGTGCTGATCCGAAAGCACGAACCCGCCGCACGCCTCTATTAACCCACGCTATTGATTTTGGTTCAAGCGGATTAAAAGAGCAAAGCAACTTGCCAAGGGCTCCTGCTAGCCCTGGAACGTAATCCATCGCAGCCACAGCACGGAAATGCTGGGCTAGTTGGCACCAGTTGAGCCCCAGGGCAGACCTGAGCCACCCCTGGTCTGCAGCCCTAGGAAGGGACAGTGTCATAGTAAGGCTTAGGCTTGTCCAAAGGAGGGCCACAAAGATGGTGAAAGGCCTGGAGCCTCTCTCTTATGAAGAAAGGCTGAGTGAACTGGGTCTGTTCAGCCCTGAGGAAAGAAGACTGAGAGGGGACCTGATCCAGGTCTATAAGTATCTAAGGTGTGGGGGGCAGAATGGCGAGGACAGACTTTTTTCAGTGGTGAGTGGAGACAGGACAAGGGGAAACGGCTGGAAACTGCAGCATAGGAAGTTCCACACAAATATGTGCAAGAACTTCTTTACAGTGAGGTGACGGAGCACTGGAACAGGCTGCCCAGGGAGGTGGTGGAGTCTCCTTCTCTGGAGATGTTCAAGACCTGCCTGGATGCCGATCTGTGTGACCTGCTGTAGGGAACCTGCTTTGGCAGGGGGGTTGGACTCGATGATCTCTGGAGGTCCCTTCCAACCCCTACAATTCTGTGATCCTGTAATTCTGTGAAAAGGAATTAAAGATCATCCAGGCTACAGTTTAGAGAAAGAGACTCTTTATCAGAGAATGTAGAAATAGGAAGAGGGGTAATAGCTTTAAACTAAAGGTGGGGAGACTCAGATTACACATGAGGCAGGTATCACAGCGAGGTGCTGCTGCCCAGAGATGCTGTTGGTGCCCCATCCCTGGAGGTGCTTGAGGCCAGGTTGGATGCACTTTTGACAGCCTGGTCTATGGGAGGTGGCCCTGCCCACAGCAGGGGTCTGAACTAGGTGGGATATAAGGACGCTTTCAACCCAACCATACTGTGATCCCTTCATCACCCACTCTGGCCAGAGCCCTTGAGTCACCAGCATGGGCACACCAAGCAATCGCTGCCATCTGAAAACCCACTGACATCATCTAAACTATGCAGAGGAAAACACAGACCACTTCAGCCACTGTGAAAATCACAAGGAGCCACACAGCATTCATGCCAACAACAGAGAGTTCAGCAGTCTTGCTCCTGCCAACAGTCAGCAGGGAACTGGCTGCCCCATAATCAGCGAATTAAGCAGTCTTAAGTCAGCAGGGGAGGGCTGATGAAGGAGATGATATTAGCTGGGCAGCACACAATTCACCCCCTTGGATTGATCCATCCCTTTGCCTGCTGTGGTGCAATCAGCACTAACTGCACGGCACTGGGGGTGCCACACTCTGGCAGGACCAGGCACTGCCACCTGCTCACCTCTGTCCTCCAACACCTCTGCACAGAAATGTATCGCTGCAGCTCAGTGCTACGTGCACCTCTATGCTCCATATTTCAGTACAAAGAAGAAAAGACAGGAAGCTGAGCAGCACGAACATTCATAGACAGGAGACATTGCTGCAAGAGAGCTCAGAGCTGCCCCAACACCTCCCACTTTTTTTTACCTTTTCCCCACACACATCAAAAGGGACAGAGATCTGGGGGCAACAGGGACAGTCCAGAAGTGCTGTCCCACGTAACACACCACAGGGAAAATGAGGATGTGGAGAGCAAAGCTGGACCCTGGCTTTGCAGCTGGGACCCCAGTGGGGAAAAATCACTTTCAGAGGTTGCTTTGCTTCCCACTGTGCTTTATTTCCTCAAGTACCCACTGCTCCCAGGTGCAGGACGAATTTTGATTTAAGTGTGAAAGGGGTAATAAAAGCCCAGAGAGCCATTAACATTCCTCCAAGCCATGGAGGGCTGTTTGCTCATCAGAGTTTGATGGAAATGCCGTTTGAGTTTCTTGCAAGCGTTGGAAAATCAATTAATTGATTTAATCATTCCCTAGGAGCCACTGCTGATGGAGATAACGGAGTGCTGGGGGCCAAGCAGGACGCTGCACCCTGACACTGCTGGGATGGGGCAGGAGGGGCTGTGGTGCTCCACTCAAACCATTGCTCCCACCCCATCCCAAGCAGCTGGATGTCCTCATTTCCCTATTTCCACAGCACAAATTTCTCTGCTTGGAAGAGCAATTTAGTCAGAGCTGTAAAGTTTTACAGCTCCACTTTAAAATCCCTTTGCAGAAGCAACGTGGGGACCTGCGCAGTGCATGCATTCATGAAATGGATGGGGACTGCTCCAAGGCCAAAGCACCCAGGGGGTTTTGGGCATGGGAGAACAGCACCGAGTCCCTTTGCTGCCACAGGGCAATGCCCATGGGGACACTGCATGCGGAGGACATGCTTTTAACCCAACACCACTTCTCCTGCTGCTTGCAGCAGCACAGCCAGCAGCACCCACACCCGCCAGCACCACTTTAACCAATAACTAATGAAGCCTCCCCGTACTCAGCAGCAAGAGCAGCGTAAGTGATTCCTGCTGCCTCGTGCAGCTGCTTTAAAGAACCCCCAGAGCATCTGAGCATCTGTTGGGAGCAGCAGGGAGCGGAGCTGGGGGGACACAAAGCCCAGGCAGAAAAGCTAAGCTGAAGGGACACGCAGGACCCACTGGGGACACATGCCACATAGCAGCCTTGCTGCCAACAGCACCCACCATGGGGAGCTGGGCAGCCACAGCCACGCTGCTCTGCGGGATGTCAGAAGGGAAAGTCTCCTGCTGCCTTTCGAGGGAGCTCTGCATAAGGAACATCTGAATGCAGGTCACGGTGCTGTGACAGCGGTGTTGTCCCTGTCACCCGGCGCTGCCTGGGCAAGACGCCGGCGCTCCAGCAGCGCATCCTGACAAGGTGCTTACAGCCACGGCACTGCTCAGCAAACAGCATCAACAACATCCAACACAACAGAAGCAGCCCTGCAGAGAATCGCGGCTCGCTCGGAATGGAGCTGGCGGTAATTACAGGCAGCTTTGCACAGCTGAACCTGCCCAGCTCCGTCCTGTGCTCTGCGGTGTGCCCTGTCATTGCTATGGGGTTACATGAGGCTTTGCAACTGGTTCTCCTGCTGTTTTCAGCATGCATTAAGGCAATGAGACAGATGCATAACTTACATGGCTTCTTGAGGGCAAAGGGAGCCATGAGCCCCCTGAACCACACAGCCATGTGTCACATCCCCAGAGGAGCAGCCCAGGCAATTACTCCCAGGGCGCTCCCCAGCCAGAGACCTGGACAGGTTGCATACAATGGTCTGGCAAAGCCACTTCAGGGTATTTTGCTGATGCCAAGCCAATCTCCTGCCAAATGAACTGCATTTCTGCCTGAAAGGGTGAAAGCAGAAGTTACCCTTCCTAAGACAGAGGTATAACACAACAGACTGCAGGATGCCAGGACAGGCACATCTGTGTTTTTCTACCTCTCAGCAGAGCCAAGCTGTCTCCTCCTGGCTGTCTTCCCCCACCTTTACCATGTGCAGAGGGTCAGGGCCACACACAGACCTTCCCCTCCTCCTCCTCTTCCTCCTCCTCCGTGCGAGCACAGCCAACTGCAGGGCAGCACAGCGCAGGTACTCCAGCTCTCTCTGATCATTAGATGCTGAGCTTGACCTTTCTGCATCTGCCATGAGAACAAATGATGCTATCTGGCCACACAAACCCAGCTGGGATGAACCACAGCAGACGGAAGGCCAGCAGAAACGGGAGCGAGAGCAAAGGGCCCCTCTGAGGGGATCATGTCAGCTCTCACATTTCTGTCTGGCCTCTTTGCTCTGCTCCTCAGGGAGCCATTGAAGGCACTGAACTAACATGAGATCCCAGCGTTTCATGGTGCTGTGACTCTGGAACAGCAAAGATGCCCTACAAAACCCTGAACAACCTTCAGCATTACCTTTTGCAGCTCAGCTCTCCCTCCTCCGCCCCCTCCATGAGAATCCCTCCTCCCAGGAGAGAGAAATCACAAACAGCAAAGGACTCAGCAGTGCTTTGCAGCCCCAGACAATCCCTTTCTCCACTCCTGTGCTCATCGATGGAAGAAATTGCTTTAAGCAGGTGAGACTCCAGGAATCAGAAAGGCACAGCACAACACAGCAAGAATTGCTCTGGGGAGAGCAGGGCAGGATTTCTGCCAGGTGATGGTCAGTGCCACTTCCAGCACAATTTGTGTCGGCTGCAGGACTTCTCCTGAGCCCTTTACCCCAATGCAACAAATCAGAGCCATCTGGCAGCCCATGACAGTAGCACTGCCATGCACCTGTGTGCATCACAACCCCACTGACCCTGCCCATGGGCTGCTCAGCATCCCATCTGTGTCCCTACACTGCAGCCCCAAGGAGACCAGACCCCCAAACATCTCTCTCCAACCCGGCATGGGGCAGCATCCTTACAGGGATGCTCTTTGTTTCCTGCTCCCCATTAAAGATCTCGGTGCTTTTCCAAGATCATTGCCCTGCCCCAAACCAGCCCCAAACCAGCACTAAAACAAATCGTGTTTGGGAGGAATAAAAATGTTTTAAATGCAAGAGAGGAGGTGTGGTGAGGGCACAGACAGCTGAATCTCTCAAGTATAAGTCTGCTCCCAGCGCATCTCCCACACAGGAGATGCCTTTTGCCAATCCAGATCTTTGCTTGTGGAACAAATTCTCCCGGTGACCACATCAAAACAAAGGAACCTCTGTCTGTGTTTATTTGGCAGCAGGATTAGGATAAAATACCATGCATTCCTCGAGGTTTTTATTTATCTTTAGGACACAAAGCATCCGCTGCATCAAATCACCGAGCAGAGAACCCATCTGAGCAACAATTTCTGGCACACACAGAGATTGGGCTGGAGAGAGTCTCCTAGGAGGAGATTCACATATAAAAATAAAATTAAAAACGGGATTAACTTCCAGGCTGTGACTTTATCCATTTCTCCTTTTCATGCTCCTGCCTTCCATCCATCTTCATTTTGGTTTTGATTGGCTGCCCGCGCGGCTCAGATGCTGAAAAAGCTCTGGGCAAGGCTGTGGCATTTCCATAAGCTGTCCTCAGAGCACAGTTTGTGTAAATGCACATCAAGCCAAGAGCAGAGTTGGGATTGCAGCACCCGAGGGTCAGGAAAAGCAAGAATAGCCCCAGTGTGGCTTTGAAACCAGCACTACAATGAATGGTCACCTCTTATCCACAGCTAACAGTTCTCCCATGTGAATTACTTGGAGGTGCTGGCAGCCCCACGTGCACCTGGTGGGATGCACGGACGTGAGGACAGCAGAGCTGCAAGGCAAGGAGGTCTGCAGGGAGAATCCCACGAGCAGAGCCCTGCTGGCCCCAAGCTGCACCTGCTGCATTAGTGAAGCAGCTCACACCCAGAGCAGATGGGAAAGGATGCTGCCAGCTTGCACTGAAAAATTAATTAGTTAATAATGAACGATGCTCAAAGGGAGCCATTAAACCCAATGCATCAACGAGCCCCTTGCTCAGACAGCACACAGAGGACCTCACACGCTCAGAGCCTGTCCCACAACACGCACATCTGAGCACACACCCAACCATGCCTCTGCACCCAGCAGTCCTGAGCCCATCCAGCTCCACATAACAGCTGGCCCTCTTCCCACAATTACTGACATTAGCAGCTAATCAGCCCGGCCAAATTAACCTGCTCCTTTGAGCTTGTCTTCAGACCAGCACCATGCACTTAACAGCAACGATAGCAACCAGTGATATTTCTTGGGTTTCCTTGGGATCCATAACACATGTTAATTAAATGCCCGTTTGTTATTCAAATTGATCTACTGAGATGTCCCAGCGCTAAGAAGCAGCGAACCCATCCGTGTTCCCCTCGCCCCATCTTACAGGTGCTCAGTGCTCCCCTGGCACAGCTCAGTGTTCCTCCATGGGACCTGAGGGGAATCGAGGTCTGCCCCAAGCAGAGCACAGCTGGAATTCTAACCCAGGCACCAGCATGTGCTTTACATGGAGATTTTCCACCTCGCCGGGCTTCAATCCCCATTTTCCCCAGTGGCATTGGTGAGGCTGGCCAACGTGAACCATCCCTCCCAATTTCTGGAGATGGGTGATCTGTTCTCATCCCCATTCCCAGGAGCCACCACCTCTCAGACAACGCCTGGCTGGGACATCACACAGCTCCACCCAAAGTCAGCCCTGTACACACCCTGAGGTCTGGGTCCTGCTTTCCTTTTGGGGTTTCTCGCTCCCCACATAGGATGAGCCCTCCTGTCCCAGGTGTTAAGACAGCAAGCAGACCAAATTTTCCCAAACAAGAGATGCAGCAGCAGCCAAATCTGCAGCAGTTCATCTGGAAGCAATAAGTCATCTGAAAATCCACCCAATGGACTAAAAAATGGATTTACTCTGAGTTTCTGAGCTTACTAACACAGCAGTACCTGCCTTAGCCAGTACTACAAACCATAGGGATTCAAGATATTAGGAAAACAAATGAGATCCAGCCCCAGGACTGTGCTGGTGAATGCAAAGACACCAAGGGCAGGAGGCAATAGACTCAGATTTGGGTTAAATAGGTGACTAGAATAAGGATGGGAAAAATTGTCCCACCAGGCATCCAGAAAGGGGACATTGGCCTTTTGCTGTCATTTTACCCCAACTTCATAGAGTTCTTTGGGGTGGACCCAGGGACTTGGGCAGGTTTCTGGGAACCTTGCCTCCTGCTGACAGCACGGTCTGTCTGTGCTCAGCTGTGCAGCAATGTATCCCCTGGGGTGGGACATTCTGCATCCCCAGCTTGGCTGGACCACGGCTGGGCTGCAAGGCCATGGAGAGGCGCTTACCTTCAGTTCGGATGGTGAAGGGCGAATCCCCCAGGCGCTTGGCTGAGAACTGCCCTCCCAGAGACGTCATTAAGAAGCACAGAGTGAAAAATCCAATGCCCAGCACAAATATCCTGCGGGGAGGAAAGCAAAGCCGTAAGGAGAGGTGCGGAACGGCTTCTTGCCCCCAACCGCAGCCTTATTGAGCGGGAGGAGCCCCGAGATGCTCCTGCCCAATCCCTGGCAGCAAAACGGCGTGTTTCACCCCAAAACACCTTCTGAAGTCGCTGTGACCTGCTTGCAGGGTCTGGGTGGGAAAGCTCAGCCAGAGCAGGCTGCAGGAAACACTCAGCAAACAATACTCGTTTTCCTTCTCAGAGAGCCCAGGGAAAAGAGAGACCTTGTACCTCCCCTTTCTCCCACAGGAGCTAAAAAAAAAAGATAAAATAAAGCCAACAATAATGATAAAAAAGAAAACAACATCTTTTTGTTCACCCCATAACCAGGCTGCTGATATTTCCATTGTGCGCGGCTTTGGGGACCTGCATGAACTCGTCCCTTTGGACAAGGAGAAGCTTGGCTCAAGGAGAACAAATGCTGCAGTCAGGGCCAGCAAGGAGAACCCAGAGCCCAGGCCAGGTGGTCCCATACCATGGCAGGCTGCTCCCTGAAGGACTGTGGAAAATCCTGCCCCTCAGAGAGCCCTCTGAACAGACGTGGCAGCCTCTTGAAGGGATAAAATTAGCTTTTGTTGAAGGGGTTTGCCTTCAACCAACCACATCTCATGGCCATGGGGGACTGATGGCCCAATCCAGGTGCTCACTGGCACTTCTGCTTCTCGGTACCTCTGGCCCAAAGGGAAACAGCCCACCAAGAACAGGATCCAGCATCTCCTGTTTCAAGGTAACAACATCATCTGCAGTGTGAAGGAGTGGCACAAAACCCAGCACTGCCATCCAGCACCACATCTGTCTTTGGAGATAACATAGCTCCCTGCCTTACAGCATTCACCTGCTGGCCCTGGCAAAGCAGCTGCTGCCCCGTGCAGCGTGTGGCATTGCTGGTCCCTGCTCCATGGCCATGGGGAGCAGAGGCCGTGGTAATGCAGCCTCTGATGTTGAATACCCCCAGCAGTGCTCCCAGTCCCCTTTGGAGACCTGCGGCCAGACATAGGGAGAGCTGATCCCTGCAAGAGAGGTAGAACTACCTAAAATCGCCATGTAAACGCTCCAGGAACTTCTTGTTTCCAAATGAGCTTCCCCCAGGGAATGGGAAGCAGTTTAACCAAGCGCTTGGCTCATCCAGACCTGCATCCCAACGGCCCATCCATGGCAGATGCTGGTGAACTCGTGGGGATCACCATGGACCTCAATCCCGCTCAATCAGACCTTGCAGATAGGTTTCCAGGGAGCTTCTGGCTCAGCTCAGGCATGGAGGTGTTTGTGGAAGTGGCTGAGCAACCCCGAAAGCAATGGGAGTCCCACAGTCTACTTAGGGTGGAGGAGATTTGGGGACCCTGTCCCCGTCCCCATTACCTTGTCCAACACCCAGCCCCATTGGGTCTTGCAAGAGCCAAAGGAGGAGAGCAAAGCCCAGCCATGAGTGAGGAGGGTTCTCCCTGGGCACAGCCCACCCACTGCCCCTTCCCAGGGCACTCACTGAAGCGTTCATCATCCAGGAGGTGGCTGCTTAAATCCTCCCAGCTGATCCCACTCTCTATTCTCACCCTGTTGACACTATCTTCATCATTACCCAAGACCTCGTTTGTGCATTTTAATTTTCATGATTATAACCTGGCAATGAGTGGTGGTTAAACTGTGGGAAGAGAGGAAGGGAAAGGCTGGGAGATCCATGCTCTGGTGTCTCGTTAGGAGACAAAATCTGCTTGATTTTGATTGGGTTACAGAGAGAGAGTAGGAAAGATGCAAGAAGAAGGATCAGATCCTAACTGAATTAATGATCCTAGGACATAAGCGGACGCAGCCCAGCTCTTCTACCTTAGCAGGTAGAAATTCCTTTGTCCAGAAAATGAATGCCATGAAGAAGGTACAATAGAGGCTCAGATCTCCCACATTGCCATCGGGTAGGCTGGGACTTCCCCAAATTAGGTCTCATTTGCTGAATGTCACAGTGCTCCAATGGCCAAATAGCATCCATCCCGCCTTTACCTGCCACCAACATCACCTCCAGTTCATCACCACGGTGCTCAAATGTGTGGGTTCTACTGCCAGGTCCCTCTGCACACCCACCCCTCCCAAACCTATGTGAAATCCATGCCCAAAACCAGCACTGTCCCAAAGCAAACAGCTGGTGCTTCCAAGACCAAAGTGAGAGCCATCCCTATGCAGCCCCACAGCCTGCTCACAGCCTCGCTTGTTCTCTCCCCTTTTCCACTTGCTGCAGGCACTTTCACAGCTCGGGGCTTTTTGCATCGCTTTGCTAAGCATGTCTGGAGTGTGATTAACATGTTTTGGTGCAAAGGGTCAGGTTTCCCGCTCGCTGTTTGCTGATGGCACCACTGCCAGGAGCCCAAACCGAGCAGGGATCTCAGTATGGATCTCTGCTGAGCAGCCAGAAACAAGCGGCCGAATTACAGGACCTGTCCCAGCTACTGCCATGGCAGCACATCTTACTGGGCTGCACTGGTTGGAGAGCACAAAACAGCCCAGGGCACACAGATGGGACCGTGCAGGTGCTGTGCTCTGCACACCAGGGTTCCTGCCCCAGGAGCCATGCCGACAGCGCTGGGTATGGGGGTGCAGGGGTGCTCAGCCGATCCCTTCCACCTGGGGACTTCAAACTCACCTGGGAATGAATACAGCCGCTGCTAAAGGGCTGCACGCGTCCTTCCCACCTCTTATGGTTGCATGCTCACAGCCCCGAAGCTCTACCCCTTTCCCCGCTCTGACCCTGAGCTCAGAGGTACGGGGACCCCCCCTCAACCCCCTGCCACGACCTTGGCCGTGTCCCAACGGCTCCCCAGGGTGCTGCCGCGGGATCCGGCCCCGAGAAGGGCTCTGGGCAGGCTGTGCAGAGCCATACATCTCCAAACACGAGCGCAAGCAAACGGCACAAACGCAGCCCCGTCCCCACAACCTGCTGCCGAACAAAAAAGGCAGCGGTCAGATGGCTCTGACGATCCCGGGCTCGCCCTGCAGCACACTGTGCACCCCCCCACTCTATCCCCCTCCCCCCCACCACACACACACAGCTTCCCCTCCCACGGTCTTTTCGATCCTTTTCCCTTAGAAAAAGCCCGAGCAATTACCGGTGCCTCCCATGCGGCTCAGGTCTAGGAGCAACAAAGCGCATCTCCGGTGCGATAGAGATGGAGAGCAAGGGGTGGAGGGGGAGAGCCAAGGCACGGAGGCATCAAATGGAAAATAATAATAATATAATAAATCTAAAATAAAAGCAATAAGAGAACCGAGCCGTGCTGGCATGGCTTGCAGCCCCAGCGCTGCCTCCGGCTCAGGTGTGGGATTCCACATCCCCAGCGACACCCGTGGATTTAATCCGGAGGAAGCGACTCCCTCGCGAGTATCCACATCGGTGAGGAAGGTGAGCAGAGCCGCACGCAGCCCTGTAAGGAACCTCTGGAAGGTATCGCGGTGACGGGCAGCCAGCGCTGACCTGCCGGCAAACTTGTTTGGGCTCCCGATATCTCCATCTGGAGCCAACCCGTATGCAAGACAAAATAAAAATAAGAATCAAAATAATAATAATTAATTTTTAAATAATAATAATAATTTAAAAAAAACAAAAACAAACAAAAACCCGCTTTCTATCCCGGAAGGATAAGCAAGGTGTGGAAGAAACAAAGAAGAGAATAAAACCCCAACTTTACCTAAAGGGTCTCAAGGTGACGAGACATCTCCTGACCATTATCTTGCCATCCGCGTTGACTGTGATCATCGTTCAAAGTTGCGGGGCCAGCGGGGATGGGGGCGGCCCCCGCAACCCCCCCCCCCCCCCCACCCGGCGCCGCGGCAGCGAGCGGGGCTCAGCGGGGCCGCATGGCGCGGTGCGGGGCGCGGAGCATCCGCCACCACCGTCCCCCCACCCCCCCCCCCCCCCCCAGGCTCCCGCCCTACCCGCTGCCCATCCCGGGGCCGCTCCGTTCCGCGCAGCCCCGCGGGCAGCTCCGCGCTCCGCCCCGGTGCCGCTCCGCCCAGAGCCGCGCAAGGTGCGCGGGCACGGCGTGCCATCTAGCGGCTGTTCGGATGGGTTTCGGGGGAAAAGGGAGGGGGGAGGATATTTATTTATGTATTTATTTATACATTATTTGTTCTTCAACGTCTCAGCCCGAATTTAGGTGGCACTGTGGTTTGTGGCAGGCGGTGGACGGGGTGGTCGTGGAGTGCGGATGCTTCCTTGTGGAAGGATCCGCGTCCCTCCAGGTGCCAGACAGCAGCCCCAGGGTTGGGGAGCACAGCGGTGCAGGCAGCAGCATCACCCCGCAGCCAGGGTGGAGCTGGGTGCTGGCTGATTTCGGGGTTACAAGGAGCCAGGTGAGCCCCATTCCTGAGGAAGAGGGCTGCCTGCGGTCGTGCATCATAGCATCATCCTGGGGCTGTGCTGCCCCATCGAGATGTTTTCATCCTGGGGGCTCACAGTGATATCCCACAATGCAGCTCCCAGCCTCCCCGTGCAGCCCCGGGCCGAGGCAGGGCAGCTTCCTGCACAGACAAAGAAAGGCCGTGGGAGCTGAGGTGGGAGAAACGACTGCTGAGCTCAGCAAAGGTCCTCCCAGCTCATGCAGCGGGGAGGGGACAAAGGTGACAAGCACAAAAAGCACTTGGGGATTAAGGGATGCACACAGAGCCTGTGGGTGCCTCTCTCCAGCACCCAGCAGCACGGACCCAGGGCACTGATTCCTGCACCAGGGGTGACGATTTCATCCTACCTGATGACCCACATTGGGGCTGATTTAAGTCAGCAGTGCTCCAGGTAGCAAATGCTGCAACAGCACCAGGCACAGAGAGCTCACAGACAGAAGACAGCTGGAAATTCTCCATGAAACAGCACTTTTCTGCTGAGGAGAAGTGAGGAGAGAGAGAGAGAAAAAAAACCCAAACCAACAGCCACCCAAGCTTGCTTGGCAGAGTGTTGTAAATACAAAAGGATTTTTTGT